TTATATTAGATATTTTAATCAATCTAGAAACTACCCTAAAATTATTCGATTTTCCGCATATCCAAATTTTATGGTAAGAAGGAAAATAAAAGTCGAAGAAAAATTGTAAAAATTAGTTGCAGTTGCTGATAGATTATAAAACAACCTGGAGTGCTAAGGGTAGTATTTTTTAATTAGTACAAATTTGTTTTGAGTATAGTATTTCTTAAGTATTCCAAATATTTTTAAATATAGCATTTCTGAAGTATTGCAAGTACTTTTAGATATAGTATTTCCGAAGTATTGCAAATACTTTTAGATACAATATTTTTTAGGTATTGCAAATACTTTTAGATATAGTATCTTTTAAGTATTGCAAATACTTTCATATCTAGTTTTTCTGAAGTATTGCCAATACTTTTAGAGCACAATATTTTCTACCTACAGTAATCTCTAAGTACTTCCAAAGTACACAACTTCTGCCATAGAATATTTTTCAACAAAATCACTAAACAGCCCGAATTCTCTGCATAATTGCATAGTTCCATCAGCAAATGTAAACTTCATTTTCGACTTCATTCTCCTATTCCACTTTCCTTCAGAAAAGATTCCCAAGTAAAAATACTCAAGCTCAACTCAAAGTTCTAATTTCCATTTAGCTCTCCCATTCACGATCCTCACGTGAAAACTGCATTCCTCTGGCAAGAAAATTCGTCGATTCTCCTACAACGGGATCGGAATTCGCATTTTTCTCGCTCCGCGAGTCGTCCGGAAAAAATGTGCAACAAAATTTTCAAATTCCTCGCGGCTGACCGTGAGCAGCGTCGATATCGGTGCGGATAAACCGGCGAATACTCTGCGGGACTGCGGAATCCGAGGATCGCGGGCTGCGGAACAATGGACAGTCGGCGGGCGGATTTTCTTTTAATTAAAACGAGTTTATTCGTTTATCTCCGGGGCTTCTTTTAATTAAAGGAGCCGCGGTTCTTTCCTCCCCGGCGGGGAAAAAAATATTACACCGCTCGGGGAGGATCCCGCAAATATTTCCCCGCGAAAAATGTGTCCTGGCGCGGCTCGTTTGGCACGCGGCCCGCCGGCAAAGAGATGACAGCATTCCGAGAGGAGGGGAACGGGGGAACTGTGCTTTACGAGGATACAGCGATAATTATTTCAGTCGCTGGGAAATATTCATCTGAAGGAAGCTTAACCCTTTGCATTCGGAAGATTTTTATTAGAAATATTTAACAATTTTTGACGAGGCGAAGACGATATTGCTTGAAATTGACTCGAAGGGGAATCACAAGTGCATTGAGAAACAAAGCTATTTATTCCAATATTTCACGTATCGAGGCATTATACAAAGTTCAACATTAAATATCAGATTTTATAGTCTCAAATCAACTGGTGACTGAGTCACCTCCCGAGTGCAAAGGTTAACGCTAGAACTACAGTCGAAACGACTGCTTTCGGTTTTCTTGTTTCGCTGTTGTTAATGTCTTCGAAGCATTGAACATTCGAAATGATTTTGAAAATAAATAGTTTCACTTAAATCCCTTATCCTATAACGAGTTAGATTGGTGAAGATTTTCAACTTGATTCAACAAATATATGTATTACTCAGTTCATTCGAATTCGAAGTAAATATTATTCCCCTGTAATCAACTGTTATACTTGAAAGGAAATATAGGCATAACATATGCTTAGAATTTTTCTCTTTTTCCAATAAATTATTAATGACAAAGCAGCCGTATTGACTAGAGTTGAGAATAGTATCATAGGCCAAGGGGTTAAGTACTATAAAGATTGTCTGAAGAATCCCGAAAATAATCTATCGTTACAATTTTTATTAATCGTATTAAACGCTTGGTAGTTCTAGTGTTACTGAGAGCTTTCGTCTCTAAGGAGGATACTGTTTGTTACAAGCTCTAGAAGTTGTAACTTTCATTGTAGTTTCAAACGTTTTCGATGGAAAATTCATTTTTTTATTGCAGAGGTTTGATTTTGTTTTAATTGCTGTAGTGAAGGAGTTTCTGCGTTGATTACTGGATTTTTAGTATCTCTGTTTTGAATGGGTAGTATGGAAGATATTCGTTTTGCTTGATATTCGTATCAGTGTTCCATTTGAGATGAAACTTTGAATTTTCTAATGGAATAGTTTCTGCATTGGTAACTGGAGCATTTCAAGTATCTCTGTCTTGAATATGTATCCTAATGGAAATGTTTCTGCGTTGGTAACTGGAGCATTTCGAGTATCTTCGTCTTGAATAAATAGCGTACAAGATACTCTGATGCTTGATATCTGTATCAATGTTAAACTTGAGATAAAACTTTGATTTTCCTTAGTAATATTCACTAACTACATCAAATTTCAATTCTAATTTTACCATTCTTACGTTAACCTTTTGCATTCGACAATATCTTTCATTAAAAATATTCATTGCTTTCCGACTGAATATTAACGATATTTCTCGTAACTAATACAATTATCTTCTATAAATTAAGAGAGAACTGTTTTACTTCGATGTTTTATGTGTTGATACATTACACAAGGTTTAATATTTAATTGAAAATTTTATAAATTTACTGCGTCGAATCAAATGGTAACTGAGAGTCACCTCTCGAGTGCAAAGGGTTAATTATTGATAGATTAGAAGTACCTTCTCCCCGAATAAATGATAAATGCGACACCAATGATAGCGTCCCTCGTTATTTTTCCTAGTTTCCAATCGGATAATAGCTAAGCGCATTTCTAACAGCGTTCTCTCGGTCCGATCTCTTATCAGAGGCGCCCTATCTATCAGGATCCCCGCGTTGATTGATATCAGGCCGGGGTTCGATGGTTTATTCACCATCCCCCCGTCCGCGTCGTCTAATAGCACGTCAAAGGAGACGCTGAAGCGTCAGGAGCGCCTACGACACGGAGGCAAATGGGTGCATCCAGTGCACTAAGCATTCCTTTGTTCCTGACGCGTGATTGACGCGGAATGCATCGTGCTTCCGAGCCCACTCTACGCCAAGAGATTGTACAGGCCGTGTCAAAGTAAAGGGACGTTAACCGTCGTTTCAATCACTTCGAAAATCATAACCGGAGACTGATGGAATTTTCTCTAGTTTCATATACTTCGATGGTGACTGGGTTTCTTGGTATATTGAGTGCAATTGTACAGGTCGTGTCAAAATAAAGGACCGTCGATTATTGCTTCAAGCGCATCGAAAATATTAATAGCAAGTTGACACAATTTTTTTATATTATTTTACTGTATGCAATTGTACAGTGTCAAAATAAAGGACCATTAATCAGTGCTTGAATTGCATTAAAAATAATAGTAGGAAATTGACGTAATTTTTTTTATATTATTTTGCTGTACACAATTGTACAGTGTCAAAATAAAGGACCATCGATTATTGCTTCAATGGCATTGAAAATAATTATAGCAAGTTGACGTAATTTTTTTCTTTCATTTTGAGTGTGTACTTTTTGGTACACCCTATGTAGAATTATTGTGTCAATCAGTGCTTCAATTGCATTAAAAATAATAATAGGAAATTGACATAATTTTTTTATATTGCTTTATGCAATTGTACAGGTTGCGTCAAAATAAAGGACCATCAATCAGTGCTTCAATTGCATTAAAAATAATAATAGCAAATTGACGTAATTTTTTTATATTATTTTGAGGATGTAGTTTTTGGTACACCCTGTATTATACAGGCCGTATCAAAACAGAGGACCATCGATCATCGTTTCAATCGCATTAAAAACAATAACTTGACTTGATTTTTAAATATTTCTTCTATTTTGGTATAGGATATACTTTTTGGTACACCCTGTACAGTTATAAGAGCGTGTCAAAATAAAGTACAACCAGCCATTGTTTCAATAATTCCAAAAGAGAATAACAGAATGTTAACAGAAATAGGAGATTTTTTAAGAATCATTCTATTTCGTCATAGCCTCTATATTTTGGAACGCCCTGTAGAAGATTGAAAAATCGTGGGTTTCCCGCAGCGTCGCCCTCCCGCATCTCACAGCCTATAATGGTTTTTGTTCGACCGCCTTTGAACCTTCGATTGTCCCTTTCCCTCGATCCGTTCCCTTTCGAGCGATCATGCCCTTCATTCCTCAGGGAACAGAGATCCGTATTCCACCCCTCCTTGCCACTGACAAGCTAATGGTGATCGAATTGCTAATCCGTTTTCGACGTGTCTGGAATCAATGGAGAACTCGAAACTTCGGTACCTCCTACCTTGAAACTGTTCACTCTTAACACTAGAACTATCAAAAGTCAAAATGACTGGTTTCGATCTTTTTGTTTGGCAATTATTGATATCTTCGAAGCGTCGAATACTCGAAATGATTTTGAAAATAGTTTCATTTCAGTACTATAATGAATGCCTGAAGAAACTGAAAGTAATCTATTGTTACAATTCTTATAGGAATTGATATTTAATTATGATTGATGATAATTAATTAATAAAAAAAAGGAAACTACATGCTGATCTCTTGCTGTTTGACTAATTAAACCATTTATTCACTCAGTCTTCCAAACACACATTTCATCTCGCAGAAACGTCGACATTCGTCCGCAAATTTTAACAAGCCGCAAAAATAGGAAAAATGCAAACGCCATACTCCGATGATTAAATTGCATAAAAATTTCAAAAATTTAAAACTACATTGTGGCTTATAAATTTCAATGTTATTCATGTCATTTTGCGTCACAGTGAAAATCAATGCTATATTCACGTCTACGAACATGTTAATCCTTGTTCCAATTATCTAACAAATAATTAATATCTGTGTTAACAATACCTCATCTTCGTTAGGTGAAATTTAATATTTTTGTTCGTTTAATTTACCCTCGTGCACGTATATAATTTAATATCCGTGACACCAGCGGAAATGCCTGTCCACTCGATAAGTAGTTCGAGTCAACCAGAGGTCAGACCAAGCGGCAATAATCCACTGACAGAATCAGACGTGTATCGCTGAACAAGTTCGTGTGCCGTTTCTGTTGCAGCCCTCCTGGATGAGAAGCAGGGAGTATTGGGACGACAGTTTCGAGGCCAGGTACGCCGAGCTCAGAAAGGATCCGACGAGGCCACCATTGAAGGTAAAAGCTCTCGTTTAATGTAACGCGAAGTAATCTAAATGTTAATGCCTGTAGCTTAATGTACTTCGAAACGCAGCCTCTTTCAACTTCCGTATCTGGCGACGATGTTTCATATCAAATTTTCTAGAGAGACAAATCACGAATCCAACGGTTAACACTAGAACTGCAACAAAATCATTTTGAGATTCTTTATTTTAAATACCGTAATTATGTTATTGCTATTACTATATCTGATCTAATAATAATAATAATAGTAATAATAGCAATATTATAATATTATTATTGTAGTAGTACTACCGCTACTACTAATAATAATATTATTGTTATTATAGTACTACTACTACTACTAATAATATTATTATTATAGCACTGCTAATAATATTATTACTAATATAGCACTAATAATAATATTATCCTTATTATTACAACTACATTCTAATGACAATATCATTGCACTTATTATTATATTACTCTTATATTATCAATATTATAGTAATCCCGGCTGAGCCCTCAAGTTTATAGTGGGGTTACTATTATTATAGATATTGAAAATGTGGATCTTCAGTAAAAAGAGAATTAGAAAATAATATGGACAACACGTAAGAATACAACTTAATACCACGAAGGCCAACACACGACTCTCTATCACGCACCAAAAATGTTCTTCTCCTGTGTCTCTCACCAAAATGTCCTTCTCGCACGCATTCCCACTCGCTTTTAACACACACCCCCATTCGTTCTGTCTTTCTCACCCTTGCACCCTTCTCACTCGCATCTTTCGTCCATAGTCAAAATTCACGCAGTCGCGTACAAGCTTTTCTCAAGGTCCAGTCGCTCAATTCCAGACACTCTTTCTCGTATTCTTTCAGCCACTCGAGATTTTCTAAACGCAGTCACACCATTTTCCAAACATCCCGGAGCCGGTCCGTCGAAATACGACCTGGTCACCCTTACGCACGCACAACAAACCATTCATCCTACAATAAATATTCTAGAGACTACAATATTGCCATTTTTATTTGCGACATCGCATAGAAACCTGGAAAGACGTTCTCTTATCGTTTCCGCAACGCGTTGCAAATTAGTTGCAATACTGGGCAGTTGTAGTGTTAAGTGTCGAAGAGGCACCGTGTCCGAGTTGGTCGAGTAAATCGACGAGCGGCCAAATATTGAGCACGCCAGACGAAAGAGGCTGCCGCAGCAGCTTTCGGCCAGCTTTGATGAAGCATTCCCATTAGTGGCCCCCCGTTGAAGGGCCGGAGGACGCACAAAGGTCCGCTCGGAAACCGCGGCACGCGGCGACAGCTCCGCGCTGACCGAAATGCGCCAGATAACCGGGGATTGGGGTTTCGTGGGGGTGAAAATTGGAGGGCAGAGCGTTTTCGAATGTTTTCCAGGCTTGTCCCTTTCTCTTTTTAATTGTCCCTTTGCGAGCTCGGCTTCTATCGATTGTCACTCTATCGAGGAACCTAATTTGTCTAAAAATACTCCTTGTAGGCTGGCTACTCGTTGATTTGTACTACTTAGAAGCCTTACAGGTCGTTGACTTGTTCTACTTGCTGTCTGACCATTTGTAGATCTTTCTCTTTGGAAGTCTGACAATGCACTGGTGTTTTCCACTTGAAGCTCTTCATTCGGTGACTCATTCTACTTACTGTCTAACCATTAACAAACTTTCATTTGAAGTCTAGCAATTATTCCAGGCTCCCTGTGGTCTGACCACACACTAACTCCCACTACTTGCATTCGAACCATTCTCGGAGTCACACCACTTCACGTCTGATCACTGTTCTATACCACTTTCTTGTCTCATTACTCCGCTTCTACTACTTAAAGTCCGACTTCCCATAGACTTCTACTTCTTGCCTGATTACTCTCATACTTCGACTACTTCCACTATCGTTCCTCGTGTTTTAAAGCAGAGTTCATTGAAAACCAGTCTCCATTCCATTAACACTATAAAATTATTCTCAGTTTTTGTATTTAAGTGAAACTATTTATTTTCAAGATCGTTTCGAATATTCAATGCTCTTACTGTCAATAATTGCAAAACAATAAATAATTTTGACTGGTACGGTAGTTCTAGCGTTAAGATCTGACATTCAACCACTTGAAACTCGTGTCGCCGATTTCCTGATTTTCCACCGTCACATCGAAGATCTCCGAGTTCGATCGTAATAATACGATCAGCCTAATGAACCTGCGCGAACCTGACAGACGGAAGGGCGCGTTTACAGTGGCGGGAATAGAGAAAAGCCCGGGCAGCTTAGCTGAGCCTCGCGTACGTGCTTTCCGGAAGCCTCAAGGCGGCCAGGCAGACGGGGAGACGAAACTTCGTTAACGAATCTCTGAAATGCCTCGGATGCGTCGGCTTAATTAGCTCGCGAACGTGAATGCTGGCCTGCCGTTGCCATGCGCGGCTCACTCGAACCTGGCTGCATCAGCCAGGTCGATTCCCTCGAATTCACGGCGTGACCTGCATAGAAGTTCGACGATATCGGGGCACACGTATCGCCCGTGAACACGTCTCGTCGCTGATCGTTCGTCATCGTTGCCTCGCAGAATTCCTGGAGCAGTCCGTTAACAGCGCTCAACTGGATCCTCGAAAGTTTCAAGGATTTAACTCTGGATTTGCTAAAGGGAATTCACTAAGTTATAATCGTGAACGATCACGGTATTTTATACATTAGTTTATATATTTTTTCGGTTATTTATTTTAATGACCTTTTATTTCTGTTCATTGAACTTTTTGGATAGTTTTGTTAGTGATCGTTTGTTTTGTGCTCTATGACACTGCGTTTCATTGGATGACGTTTAATTAGATATTACTGAAGCTGTTTTGCAAGTCATGTGTCGGACTGTTTAATTATGCAACTGTTCAATTATTCAATTATTCAACTATTCAACCATTCAACTACTCAATTATTCAACTATTCAACTATTCATCTATTCAACCATTCAACTACTCAATTATTCAACTATTCAACTATTTACCTATTCAACCATTCAACTCCTCAACTATTCAACTCATCAACCATTCAACTACTCAACTACTCAACTACTTAACTACTCAACCATTCAACTACTCAACTCCAACCATTAAACTACCCATCTCAAGCTCACCGCTAAACAAACCTCCGACTCCCCAGCAAAATAATACCCCGCGCTATCCAGCAAAACACCAGCGACAATCTTCCCTCTCAAAATTCCCGAACCCGCAGTAAACTTCCTCCGGATCAGCACTCCCGCAAAACCTTCATCTGCAAAATGCCCGGTCGCAAGAACACGCTATCCGCAGTTCGGGGAGCTGCGCCAGAAAAACGAGAGGTTCCGAGCGAGCCCGCCTCGATTCCCGGGGACAAACGTTTGGAAACGTTCTCCGTGAACGGCTCCCGCAGGAGGATGGCGTCCGCGTTCGCCCCCTTGCCCCGCTTCATCCCCCGTCCCTTCCTTTCATCGCCGGAATCGCGGCTGACTTCGACAAGTTCGACAATACCGGCTGATCAGAACATTGTCGGCTCGCTCGTAACGCGTGCTGGGGTGTCCCTGCCTAAAACGCGCACGACAATACCCTAACGCTGCCCATCCCTGTATTTTCATCCCTCTGACGCCCTCGTTCGGGGATTTCCCGGCTGTAGGTTTCTTATCTCGATCAACCCCTCGGACTATTGTCAGTCGTCGGTTGATCTGGTACAGGGAAATTGTAATGTTTCGTGTTTAACCCCAGTCGCTAGTGTTGGATCAATTTATTAACCCTTTACGAAGATACTTTGGAATGTAAAGTCTTGGACAGATGAAGCTAAATTATGTATCAATTACTTGAACAATAGTAAAATAGAAAACTACGTGCTGATCTCTTGCTATTCGAGTAATTGAATCTTTTGTTTACGACTTAGACTTTCGAATATGGAAATTTCATCTCGTCGAAATTTCGACATTCGTCCGTAAAGGGTTAAAGATATTCACATCTACAAATATTTTATTTAATCTCGTAAATCTCTTATACACTGTTCCTTCGAACAACGACAAAAAGGAATTATTCATTATTTATTAAAGCTCATATCTTACACTGTCATCTAGTTATCCACGCTTTAACAAGCGTAGAGTTAGTCTACAGGGTTAATCCGACCAACTATTCAAAAGTTGAAACTCTTTGCCTCGCTAAAAATCTAACGTCGATAAACAATCATTCCAATTCATAAAATTACGATAATAATACAAATAATTGAACCATCAGCAACGTTTGAACTAGAAACAGAATAAATTTCCTTAATCTAATTAGCTTAAAGACATTCATTTTTTAGAATAGAGGGTGTCTAATATTTCTAAAGCGAAGATATCTATAATTATCAAATGAAATGTAGATTTTTTAAATATCTCGAGGAAATATGGAACTGTAGGCCACGTTGCCTATTCTCCGAATGGCGATCGCAGCCAGGAGCGTGTTCACCTGGGGAAACATAGACCCTAGGATCATTGCTAGGAGATAGAACTGGCTTCCAGGGACGAGTCCTTCGTTTATACGACGCAGTGCCTCGTAAAAACCGGTCCTCCTTGGAAAAATGTCGCTCCAGTTCTAGATAAATGTAATGGAACGGTCACGGCACGGTTGCCGGGATGCGCTAACACCCCCAAAGGGATGGGCACCGTAGAAATAAACTTTTCTTCGAGCAACTATCCCAGTAAAGTTTTTTTTATTTCATTCGTTACTAGTGATTTAACAAAACAACAGTAATCCTACGAAACATTAATAGAATTTTCATTTTATTATTTGTTCACTTTATCTTGAACAATATTATTCTTTATTATCTAATTTTATTCTTATTCTTTACTATCTAAAAGCTATTAAAATTATTATTCTATTAATAATGTGTTTGGAAAATAAGTTCTTCGTCGTGTTTTCATTATTACTCGAAAATAATTAATTCCATTGAATGAGATTAATTAGAATTTAATTCATTCCATTCTTTGTTGATGTCAATTGATTTCTCAGTTAATTTCAAATAATTATTGCCTCTTTTCACTTGTTATTTCCATTTCATATGAAAACTGCCCGACCCCATTGACTCTCGAGCGACTCGGCTCTTGGGAGAAACTCGCCGCGGCTCGGTTATTGATGCTGTTTATTTATTTAACGAGATTGCGTGTTACCCCGCGCGAATTGGACACCGAGTAGATTACCCCGATGTCCCTGGGCGGTTGGTTCCTTCGGAAAAGTTCGGAATTCCGGATGAACTTCGGAATTTTCTTCAGCTACGTCCGAAACAAAGTTTATGCCGCGGGACTGAACGTTCTCGCGGGTGCAGCAGAGCTTGAGCAATGGGGCTGGATCCGGGGAATTCCCTAGGCAGCTGGTTCCTTCGAATTTTCGTGGCTTGAAACTAGAGTAACGTGTGCTGAATGAGAAGTCACTAGGATTGGACTGAAAACCCAACAATCTTTGCTTCGTTTCTAGTTGAATTTTAACCCTTTGTGGACGGATGCCATTTCGATGAGATGAAATGCTCAGATTTCGAAGACTGAGTCGTGGACAAATGATCTAATTAGTCGAACAGCAAGAGATCAATTAATTCTATCAATTAAACAATTGATATATAATTTAGCTTCATATGTTTCGAAGAATCTTCGTCCGCAAAGGGTTAAAATAATATTTTCTGGAGCAGGAACGAGTCGCTAGATAGGTAGAGTCAGACAAAACTTGGCAAATATTTTCCTATCACCGAAGGAAACATGAATGATCTACTAACTCTCATAATCCCTAACTATTTCAAATACTAGTACTAACTGCTTCAGATACCAATTCTTTACCAATTGTATATCAGTTTCTAATTCCAAACAAAAAAAAGAATCATTTCACTTAAAAAAGATTGAAGAACTATTAAAGAATGCAATGATTCTGTAGAATTATAAATGTTATAACGATTAACTTGATCTTTTGCTTAAGATACTTTCAAAATAGCTTCTACATTACTTACTTTCTTCTCTGAAACCCATAAAAAGTACCTTCAAAATGCACACATCTCGAAAATTCCAGATGCTCGATAAAATCATCAAAAACGATACAAATCTCAGCAGAATGTTCGACTCAGCACTTCCTTAATTTCTTCTCTGAAACCCATAAAAAGTACCTTCAAAAATCATACATTTCTAAATTCCCAACTCTCGAAAATCATCAAAAACAATACAAACGTCAACAGAATGTCCGATTCGGCATTTCCAAGTGCTGCACAGTTCGTTTTCATCAATAAAAAATTAGCTGTCCCATTTTGGTCCGTTGGTCGCACTGTACCGTCTGCTTGCCGGACAGTCGTGATTTCAGGAAGTGTCTGACGAAGTTATCGGGAAGCTGCGCCGGAACGTATCGGTGTGTTCGAAGCGTTAGCGGGAACGACCGGTTGTCGATGAACGAAGGGCCTGTCTGATCCGTGCCGCGATCGTCTCATGCATACGAATCAGGCAAGCCGGTATCGTCCGACTGCTTTCGCCGGTAGCTGGATTATTAAACGCGAGAGATGACCGATCCGTAATTAACGCCGCCCTCCGAACCTGACAGTTGGATCACGTGACCGGCATCAGGGACTAGCCGGTGTTGCACAGTAACGCCTCTCTACTTGTCGACTGTCCTTTTTCGCACTTTAACCCTTTGCAGACGAATGTTGACATTTTGGCGAGATGAAATTGTTGTATTTGGAAAATCAAGACGCGAACAAATGATTGAATTAGCCAAACAACAAGAGATCAGCATGTAGTTTTCTTCTTTTCCTGTTAATTAAGCAATTGGTATATTATTTAGCTTAATCTGCTAAAGATTTCGTATATTTCGAAGAATCTTCGTCCACAAAGGATTAACTCTTTGAACTCGAGGGCTCCGGAGCAGAGCCATTTCAAATTTATTGAATTGAATCTTTATGGGCGATTAAAAGTAGGATTTTTGTAGAAATAGCTCACTAATTAACAAGTGTAGATGAATAGAATCCTTATGAACCAAGGAAAGATACCGAATTTTCACTGATTTTCTTCCTTAAAATTGAAAGTTCTCTACTCGGAGGTCAACTATCGAGGTCAACACTGCAAAAAATAGAATTCTCGGGTGACACAATCAATGCACAGTCCCCAAACTCAAGATCTCTAACCCTGACTAATCTCCTCCCTCCAAATCAAAATCCAACCAACCAGCAACCAACTATCGAGGTCACTACGCGAAAACCCGCCTCAATAAAAAGAATCACAAATTTTCCTTGGCGCAGCTGCCTGAGCCTCAATTTCGCTCTCAGTCAAAAGCCAACCAGCCAGCGATCAGCTATCGAGGTCGGTACCGTAGAAAATGGAATTCTCAGGATCGCAGGCGGTGTATTCGGCGCGCGTAGATTGCGTGGCGGAGTTCATGAGCGGCTCGCACGGTTGAATAGGCTTCGCCCCAAACAATCTGTAGTCATCGATCCGGCAGAAGTTCTGGCCGCCGCCGAGAGCCGGGCCGAGGGGGCGGGGGAGGATTGCATCGCGGTCCAGTAATAAACGGGGATGCATAATAGGGATTCGTCGGTGAACTATGCGCAGTTTAACGTGCCGCGGGTTCCAGCGCTGATCATGAGCGGCCGGATATCGGTTTATTGTAATCCTTTGTCGCAGTGGTTCTCCGTTCGACGTTCGCACCCCCCTCTCACCCCCTCGTTCCTTTGACCGATTTTTCTTTTTGTCGTTGAACATTTTTTTCTGTTGCTGTTGCCGGACGTCGTCGTCGTGGCGTCACGGCTTCAAAGATCAGAAGCGTCGCGTTCAATTATTCAGCGAAGGGAGCGCGCGAGCGTCGGCCTAGGGAAATTGGACCCTTATGAATTTTCATCGGCGAGAAGTTGCATCGATCCGGCGGACGATGAATTCGGGATGCCCGGGAAATAGACTGTTTTCCCGCAGAGCGGAAGTTGATGGCCGGAATTGGCCTCCGAGGCGATTACTTTGCCGGCGTCGGCCGACGCGCGCGGCTTTGTGATCTTCGGGCGGATATTTCGAGCGGCGGCTTTCGGGTAATGGAATTTTTAGGGGTCTCTTTCGGAGGAGTTTAGTGGGCTTGATAGTTCGGTAGGGATATTGTTTTGAATATTTGAACGGTAGTGAGGGTGGAGGGAGGAAATTTATGGTAGTGGATATTTTGGAGAAGTTTTGTGTGGGTTGTAGGACTGTTGGGTCAGTGGAATGAAGTTTGTATTGGTATTTAGAGGTTTGGAGGAATGGTCAACTGTCGAGATGAGGATTTAATAATTTAAATGTTGGAATGTTCAGTTATTCAATTATTCAACTATTCAATTATTTCAATATTGAATTATTGAAGTATTCAGCTATTGAACTGTTGAACTATTGAATTATTCAACTATCAAATTATTCAATTATTCAAGCATTCAACTATTGAATTATTGAACTATTCAGCTATTGAACTGTTGAACTATTGAATTTTTCAACTATGCAACTATCAAATTATTCAATTATTCAAGCATTCAACTATTCAACTATTCAACTATTCAACTATTGAATTATTGAACTATTCAGCTATTGAACTGTTGAACTATTGAATTTTTCAATTATTCAACTATTCAACTATCAAACTATTCAATTATTCAACCATTCAACTATGGAATTATTAAACTATTCACCTATTAAACTATCAAACCATTCAATTATTGAACCATCCAACCATCAACCTATTCAATCATTCACCCACTCACCCATCAAACTCGATACACACCAATTTCCCCTCAAAACTCTACAGAACAATCATCGAATTCATTTAAAAAACGCATGGAACTCGTGTCCACTAATACAATCCAAGCAGGCTATCGTCCGCGACGCATAGTTTATTCGGCGGACAACAATCGAGACAGTCGCTCGTACGCGAGGCCGGCCCGATGGCAAATCGTAATGAGTCCCACAAATTGTTTTACGAGCGATGTTGGCCGGCCTGCGGCCGCATTACCCGCTCCGTACGGCAGTGTATCAATTACGGAATAATGTCGTTATCGCGACGAGAGCGCACGGCGCACCCTAATTAACATATTCCCGGCGCCCGTCCGTTCATCGGTCGGCTCGGTTGAGAACCGCTGGGAGCTGTTGCGCCGTCTCTCATTCGGCTCGAACGGCTGAGAACATTCAGGATTCCATTATTATTGACCTCTTCGGCTCCCGTTTCGAGGCGGACTCGACGAATTTCGTTTCCTGCTGCCGCGTGCCTCGCTAATTAACGTTATACCCGTTTGTAATTACGATCTTGGCGGCCCTGAACACTCGATGAATAATTATAAATCGTAAATGAATGCGGTTCGTTTGAATGAGGTCCTTCGGGCGCTGATTAATTATTTAGGGATTGATTAATCCCTTTTTCATACTTTTTCTCTAAATTGATTGTCTATAGAATATTGGCGTTAATTCGGAATTAATTTCGTGTCAATTGAAGCTGCGAATGATATATGATTATATAAAAGTTATGGAAAAATTATCATGATTCTTAGAATATTTTTAAATAAGCAGGGATTGGATGTTGTTTATAGTTTTTTAGAAAATGCTGTATTATTTGTATTAACCCCTTGCACAATGACGACTGAAACTCGTGATGAAGATTTCTAGACTAATTTAACAACAATCAATGTTGTTCATGACTCACGAATCAAAGCACATAACTATTAACAATGTATTATCTTCAAATGAAATTTCCGCTTAAAGTAGAGTGATAAATTTTGCTACTTCTCTTCTAAATTGCCGATAGTAAAATGTTACACGAGCTTAGTAATTCAAATAATTAGTACGTCAAGGGGTTAATAATCTGATTCTATAGAATTATTTTCTTTAGTCTAACTACCGGTCTTTCCAGGTGATACTGGTGCCGCACAGCCACACCGATCCAGGATGGCTGAAGACGTTCGAACAGTACTTCCACAGCTCCACCAGAAGCATCTTGAACAACATGGTCTCGAAGTTGCAGCAGTGGCCTAACATGACCTTCATCTGGAGCGAGGTGTCCTTCTTATCGCTCTGGTGGGAGAGGTGAGCATTATCTTCAGAATTATTTTAAAAAAGAATCAGAATATTCCATAATCAACGGAATTCCTCCTCAAAACCGATGGAAAAAGAAACATCTTAGTTTCTGCGAAACAGTAATTCTGCGAACTACCACACCATTTAAAGAAATATTAAATTTTATTAGAACTGATTACTTGTTTAATACTTATGAAATTTTTACTTAAAAATTTAATACTTATAAGTTCGTGATATATCACTATATGAAAAATATTCAAATATCTTATTAAGTTGATTTCATTGAGAAATCGGCCAGTTTTCTAAGAATCAAACGGTACGCAATGTGTTAACCCCTTTGCCTATGATTTCTTTCTCAACTCTGATCGATACGGCTACCTTGTCATTAATAATTTATTGGAAAAAGAGAATAATTCTAGGCATATGTTACGCCTATATTTCCTTTTAAGTATAATAGTTGATTACAGAGGAATAATATTTATTTTGAATTCGAATGAACTGAATAATACATATATTTGTTGAATCATATTGAAAATCTTCACTACGAGTCTCACTCGTAGTTATAGGACAAGGGGTTAAGATGTAAAAATCGATAGGCCACCAAATGGTCGCGTTTCGAAGATTGTTCATCGGTGGTTTCGGGTTCGAACATCGATTGTTCACACAATGTATCAGTCGTACAAGCAAAAGCAACCATCCATTCCAAAACTGACAAAAGAAAGAACAAAGTCGCAACACGTCCGATGATCCCTAACGAAAGAGGGTAATCACCGTGAGCCTTCGACTGTCTCCCAGCCGAGCTCCCCTAGTTTTTACGTCGGGCCCTTCCGCGTACGTGTCCCTCGAAGTCAGTCATAAAACGGGCCATTAGAGCAGGATAGATGGCGGCCGGGATGGCGCGAGCCCGGGAGAACAGTTTAAGGCGTCCCCTGGAACACAGAATATCCGGCGGGCTTTCTTTTTTAACGATCGGAGGAAAGCGCCGGGGATAAAGGCCGAAGAGGGTGGACAGCATCCCCTTTTCCTCGAGGCTGATGACGGAGGGTCGAGAGTCCCGGCCATTCGGCCGCGAGACCCGTCTCACAAATGGAATCCGAATATCGCTCGATAAAAGGATAACTCCGGCAAGATGTCCGCTGCCCGTGCGACGCCATATTGGGCTCGAAGCGCGCCATAAAACCGACCGTTACGACACAATAACGCCGCGGACTCGTCGGGAGGATATCGGACCGCGCTTCTTCCGTGCCGGGGATATAAAAATGATATTTATTTAGGCCGGAGGCCGACGCAATTCCGTGTAACCTCTAACCGAAGTGTCGAGGCGGGAGCGCGGCCGGCCATCTTGGAAGTAATCAATCCTCGCCGCGCCGCGGGAAAACGGGCTCGTTTACTTTGCTTCTTCTGCTCCATTTGGAACACGAGAACGTATAGTAGAGTAACACAGTTGCAACTGTGATCAATATTAACCTGTTGACCTGGAATATCGTGAGGTTCGCGATGAGAATTTTCAACTTGGGAAATAATAAGTGTTATTTATTTTGTTTAACACTAGAACAACCGTACCAGTAAAAATGACTGGTTTCAACGTTTTTATTTCGTAATTATTGATATCTTGAATATTCGAAATGATCTTGAAAGTAAATAGTTTCACTTGAATACTATAATGAATGTCTGAAGAAATTGATAATAATCAATTATTACAATTTTTATAGGTATTACATATTAATCGTATTAAATGCTCGGTAGTTCTAGTATTAAATATGAATGAAATATTACTTTTCTATCAATTAACCTTTGTGAAACATATATGCATCAAAATTCTTTTTTTTCTAAGAAATTGTTAATAAAGTAGTTGCATAAGCTTTCACAATTGATTTCTTCAAATAACAAGAGATCAGTGATTACTTTCACTAATTAATTTACAATTTAATTTCCCTTGCGAAATGTTTTCAATATTCGAAGAAATCCTCGTCTGCGAAGAGTTGAAAATAATCTAACATCAACAGAAAACTATTGAACTTCCACTGGAAACAATGAAACCATTCTCTTCTAAATCACATTACCAAAAGAATTCGATAAAATTTACATGTTTTAATAAACCTCCATTCCCTTTTCCTAGATTGGTATAACAGCAATTTTCAATTAGACCAACTTATACAACTACACATACAAAAATTCAGATATCATATTGTAATATATTTCAAACACATAATCAATTCGAATCGAATTTAATATTTTCTTAAACGCTATGGTAAATAGCACAGTCGCATAGTTAAGTGTCTTTATCAAAAAACGAGATTTCTCGTTAGCAGTACGAGTTAATTCTAGGTTACACTCTTATAAACAACTCAGAGAAGACGTCCGCGGCTCGAATCGCGGCGCAGGAAACGTACGAAACAATTCCCGCGAGCTGCGTGATCGGTGGAAGGCGGGCCGGTCGACTTCCGCGGGGGTGTAATTCACTGTTTAAGGGGGTTAAATGCGAATACGTTAGCCGGTCGTGACGCAGGGGCCGCGTAATTGTGAGTTACACCGCGGATAGCCCCGCGAGCGACGTGTAACGCCGCCATTGGCGGGGGTCGCTTGTAATTTCCCGCGATACGATCCGCGATACAAATCATATTTATTGCTGGGCCGCATTCCAGTCGGCCGGGATTTACGCGGTCCGAGGCGCGCCGTCGCTTTTCCGCGACGCGACGCTCGTAAACCGCCAATGAATTCCGGTTTACTTCTGTTTCCGGTTTTCGACTCGACCCTCCTCCGCGCGAGTAGATTACCTGTGCTCTCCGGGGCAATTCTCCCCGTTCGCCAGCGGGACAAGCGAGGGAAACTCGTTGCAGCGAAGAAATAAATTCCTCGGGCTCCGCTCTAAGTGCTGCTCGACTCTGAAGGGCTCGCTGATTCGAATACCTTCTGTAGCTTTTTCGGAGATTCTTTGGTATGGTTCGTCCTTGACCACTTAAATTTTTAATTCGCGAAATGGAAAGCGAAATGGAACATTGATTAATTGGAAAATGGAAAATGGAAAGTTGAATAGTTGGGAAATAGAAGAAATGGAATAGTGAAAGATTGAATAATTGAGAAATGGAGAAACAGAACATTAGAAAGATTGAGCAATCGAAGAATTGTTAAATTTTGAATTCGCGAAACTGGAAAATGAAATATTAAATAGTTGGGAAATGGAAGAAACGAAATACTAAAAAATTAAATAGTTGAGAAATGGAGAAACAGAACATTAGAAAGATTGAGCAATCGAAGAATTGTTAAATTTTTAATTTGCGAAATTAATTTGGACACTCGGATTAGAACTATCCCAATTCCAATTGTTTCATTGAAATGTTCCACTCAGCAATTTTTCTCTTAAAACTCGTCGATGATCGGTGAGTCAGTGAGTATTTCTATTACACAGAACCTAGCGCTAGCAACGTCTAGCTTCTTCAGTCTAAATAAGATCTCTGGTATTCGTCTTCGCCCGAATATTACGCGGAAACCGCCGTGAGCTTCGCAACGAGCGAAGGTTCCCTTGGAATTGTTCTGATGGGAGGTTCTGGCGAACTCTAGGAACTTTGTGGCGCGAGGGAATGGTTACGGGATATATTTGGACTGAGAGTGAGCTTGTTGCTGAAATCAGAGCTGATCTGATTCCTGGTTCACTTTGAGACTGACTTTGTTAGAGAATGATACATGGTTGATTTTAATTCACTCGTATTTTAATGGGACGTGATCGTTGACAGTTAACCCTTCGCGGACGAGGATTCTTCGAAATATACAAAACCTTCGACATATGAAGCTAAATTATATATCGATTGCTTAATCGATAGAAAAAGAAAAAACCACGTGCTGATCTCTTGCTGTTCGTCTCACATCGATCAAACTTTTCATCTCACCGAAATGCCGACATCCGTTAATTGTAGTTTCTTTGTTTGCAGCGCCCATCCGACGAAGAAGATGGTGGTGGAGAAGCTAGTGAAAGATGGCAGGCTGGAGATGACCACCGGTGGCTGGGTCATGACCGATGAAGCGACCTCCCATATTTATGCCATGCTGGACCAGCTGATTGAAGGTATTTGAATAGTTGTTTAAGTTTCAGTCGGGGTTAGATGTTTTCTTATTTTGGTAGTATTTGAGTTTTCCCTGAGTTTGCGGATTAAGGAGAGAAGTTGATTTTAAGTTCTCTTAATAAGTCAGTCTATTGTGATTAATGATTAGCTGGGTTTAAGTATAGGGTTGGGTCTAAGTTCAATTTAGAGTTCTAGGTTTAAGTTTAAGGTGAACTTGAAGTCCTAGATTTAAGTGCTAAGAGTAAGTCCTAGATCTAAGTCTAAGTTCAACCTAAAGTCCTAGAGCTAGGTCTAAGTCTAAGTTCAAACTTAAAGTCCCAGGTCTAATTCTAAGTTCAACTTAAAGTTCTTGGTCTAAGTCTAAGTTCAACTTAAAGTTCTTGGTCTAAGTTCAACTTAAGATCCTAGGTCTAAGTCTAAGATCAACTTAAGATCCTAGGTCTAAGTCTAAGATCAACTTAAGATCCTAGACCTAAGTCCTAGGTCTAAGTCTAAGTTCAACTTAAGGTCCTAGGTCTAAGTCTAAGTTCAACTTAAGGTCCTAGGTCTAAGTCTAAGTTCAACTTAAGATCCTATCTATGAATCTAAGTTCAATTTAGGTTAGCCTATCAATCTATCTTCAACTGAAAGTTCTAAGTCCAATTTCTAGCTTACCATGTCTAAATTAAACTTAACATCCTAGATCTAAGTCCTAACTCTGTCTAAATCTAAGTGTAATTCTAAGACTAAATCCAAATCCTAGATCTACTGACAATTCCACATTCATCTACCAAATCAATCTACTTCCCACAACAATTACCTAATAAACCAATGAAAACACAAGCAAAAGAATACTATCCTCATTAACAATATTCATCCACAACTCAGTATATTCAATTCTAATCAGACAAATGAATAATTAACAATCCTCTTAATTTTCTAACCTCCCTCGTCACTCAAATTCCATTTCAGTATGTATTTCAATTATTCATCCGCTAATTCAACCGTCCAACGGCTCGCCAACTGAACGAGTCCACGGAGTTAATGTCTGCGCGGATGGGGTGGGACCGGAAGTGGAGGATGCCTCGGACGTTTCCTCGCGGAGACGCAATAACCGGAGGCGTCGCGTCGCATCGCGACGAAGGGATTTCGAGTCGATCCATGGACGTGCTCGAGTGCACGGAGACGAGCGCAATAAAGGGTGCAGAGGGGGGTGGAGCTACCGCTCTCCAACCCCCTCGCCCTGCTCGAGAAAATTGCTCTCGTTCTCCCTTAACGCCCTCTGATTACGTCTACCAGCGGAAGCAAAAGGATCCGCGGTTTAACCCTACGACTCCTAAAGGAACAGCTCCTCGAACCCAGAATCTGATGGTGTTCAATTAAAGCCGTTCCTATTCTATGGAAAATTCGCCACGATTGATTTATTATCGTTTGCTCGGACTTCGATTTTAGGAAGTACTCTTGTAGAGTTTTGTAGAGTTTTTTAAAGCTCGTGGATAGGATTAGGTCTTAGTTACTGTGGGACGTTTATGGGGGTGCTTCAAATTTCCAGTTTCTGATTTTTGTGATGTCAATTGAAGTTTCAGAATTGAAATATTGGAATAATGGAGTAATTGAGAGATTGAGCAATTGAATGATTGGAAAGTTTTTTAATTGGAAAATGGGGGAAATGGAACATTGGATTAGAAAATTGAATAATTGAAGAATGGGGACATGGGACATTGGAAAGATTGAGCAATTAAATAATTTGAAAATTTTTAGTTTGTAAAACTGGAAAATGGAAGATTGAATAGTTGCGAAATGGAAAAATGGAACATTGCAAAATTGAATAATAGAGAAATGGAGAAACAGAACGTTGGAAAGATTGAGCAATTTAATAATTGGAAAATTTTGAATTTGCAAAATTGGAAAATGGCAAAATGGAATATTGAATAATTGGAAAATATGGAAATGAGATATTAAATAATTAGGAAATGGAAGAAATGGAACAGTAAAAAATTGAATAATTGAAAAATGGGGAAACGGAACAGTAGAAAGATTGAGCAATTGAATAATTGGAAAATGGAAAATTAAATATTGAATAGTTAGTAAATGGAAGAAGCGTATCACCGAAAAATTGAATAATTGAAAACTGAGGAAACGGAACATCGAAAAATTGCAAACTCCAGCTTCAAAAAGTAGCAAAATAGCAGACCTGAGATCCTCTTGAAAGTTTAAACGCCCAAGATCACTAAGAACTTCCTCATTCCTCATTCCCCACAAACGCAACAGCATTTCCCGCTGTGCGCCATTGCAAGCTGAAAAAACCAATTAACAGAAGCCAGTAAGTAACCGGCGAACGACGCCAAGAAGTCATGCGACCGACTGAAAGAAAATTCTCAGAAGGGAAAGACTAGATTTCCCTGCGAAGGGGGATCGTTTGCCTCAGACCGCCGCCGCCTGCAGAACAAACAACTTCGTCTTGAGCGCGGAGTCTCGCATAATGGCGGCGATAACGCAGAGACGTGTTTACGGCGGCGGTAATTATTACCGCGGAAAATGGCGGAGGTAATCGGCGGAATTCCACGAGCGCGGCAAGAGAAACTCGGCTACCGTGCACGGTCGTACCAATACGACTGCTATAAAAAATCGCGGAAACCGTCAAGTTTTATCACCGTTATTCATATATTCCAGTAATTACTGTTTTCGTTCTGCGAACAAAAGATAATTGCATAAATTTTACAACGCAAACAATTAATACGAAGTTTTCAGCAGCAATTCCATAGACTCGTTCGACTTGTTTCGCGTTTTCTGTTTACTAACTTCGTTCTCGTTGATTTCATTTGAATATTGTTGCTATTAACCCTTGACGTTCTTGGTATCATTTTTTAGTAGTAATTGTATATTGAATATTAATATTAACCCTTTGCACTCGAGAGACGACTCACATTTGGTTTGATACAGAAAAATTACAAACTTTGGAGTTCAGTATTAAATTTCATTTAACGTAATCATCTATGAAACGGTAAAATAGTATAGTTCTATCCCTTGATTTCTGTATTATTTATAATAATATTAATTATAAAACATATCGTTGATATTTCATTAGAGAATGAGGAATATATCTAAACAATTTTCGAGTGCAAAGGGTTAATGATATATGTGAAACTGTGAGAAAATCGGTTGAAACGTGTTTAGTGATATATTATGTTTAAAATATTTTCTAAAGAATATTATGGGGATTTCATGTTTCGCGATGAGTGTCATAGGTATAACTGCTTGTATTATTTTCATATGAGGACCATTATTGTTACGATTACTTTTTAACAAATGTTTCATCGAATTATACGAGGTACCATTTGATTTCCGTGGATTCTGCGAGGCTTGCAATGATTCCGAGAGTTTTCCAGTGAAACAATGCCAGCCAGCTGTATTAACTTGCAATTATTAGGCCTCTGAATATGCATGCGAGCGATTCGCGAGCTTAGCACGTTAAATTTCCAGGCCAGACGTGGTCAATACGCGTGTCGCCATTTACACACCGGTATATCGACGAATATTCGCCGCGTGAATATGTAACGATGCGAACGCAACACGTTATCCGATCGCGGTCGGAGAAATACTCGGGGCTGATCCCTTCTGTAGATAACGGTCGAAATTTCGTGGCTAAAACTGGATATCTTTATTATTTCTCGTATTCTTGTTCGTTAGGTGTCAGTGACATTTGTGATGTAACAGTTAGTCTGAAAAAGCTACTCTACAAAGAAGAAACGATTACTCCAGACTCTCATCGATCGATCCTCTCAAAAATTCAAGTGTCCATTAGAAAAATGATAAAAAAAGCACTACCACTTATAGAACGAGCCAATAAGAAGAACAAAGATTCACTAAACTCATCCAGAGAAACTGATCCTCTCAAAAATTCAATTATCCGTTAGAAAAATTATTAAAAAAGCATCATCACTCCTAGGATGACTTAATACAAAAAAGGAAACTTTAGAGACTCATCAAAAGAAATCGATTCTCTCAAAAATTTCAGTTTCTCGCTTAAAGAGATCATTAAACAACCTCTTCACGTATAAAACGAGCCAATAAAAAAAACAAAAATGTGCCAAAATCATCCAGAGAAACCGATTGTCCGGAAAATTCTGTTGCCCTTGAAAAGATCATTAACCCATTATGTCCCAGTGATCTATTAATAGATCAGTCACTCTAAATTCTTATAGTATACAGATATATAATTCTATCTATAGATCATTCTATATATAGTATATCGAGAAAGAAGTCGATTCTCCGAAAAATTCGAGAAACTTCCGGCGTTGGACGGTCCCCGGAGCTCGCGGTAACGAGTGAACAAGACGCCGGAGCGGAGGGACGCAAAATGGCGGCAATTAAAGCGACATCATGGCCGGGAGTCGCTGGATTAACCCGTGGAACCCGAGATCCTCTCCGGTCCGCGGCGCGCTTATCTTCCGCCGAGCGGGCCGGGTATCGACAATTGCAGAAATCGAGATAACCGTGATCCACCCGGGAGCCCCAGTGCTCGCAGGAAGCGCGATAATAACCGGAAGCGAGCACCGGCCCGAGTCCACTGCCGGCGCCGGGCGACCGGCTCGTTTCGGCTCGCCGATGGAAATTAGCGCAGGCTAACGAGCCGCCGCGTTATCTTCGTCCCGGCTCGCCCGTGCCGGCTCTCCGCGTCTTCTGTGCACCATACCGGAAGTGCTCGTCGAGGTTCCCAGGATTTTTTCCCGTCGAAACGCTCGTCAGCCGCGATATTCGCGTCGACGATCGGGGAAACTTTCGGACGTTTGCGAATTTTATTGGTGATGGATTCGTTGGATGTTTGTTATGTGATTTTATTTTAATTTGGTGTTTGTATTTAGTTGATGTTTGTTGTTCTTGAAGTTTTTTTAAGGTATTTTTGTTTCCTTTTGGATATCGTCTATGTGGAGTATTTTGTTTAATGGAATTGCTTTTGAGGGTTTGAGAATTTTTGGATGTTTAGCAGGGATTTTTAACCCTTTGAACTCTGTAGGCTCCA